CTTTATAGTGGAGACGGCGATATGCACAGTCCATATAAACATTTTCTCGGTCAAGTAGACAGGTTAGGCCGACAATAATTTACACAATTTGAAAAACCTGTAAAAACCGTGTGATTATTAGTGCATTTCCATGGTAACCATGACGACACGAGATAAAAAGTAAGCACTGATTGTTTAACTGTCGATACAAGTAGAATACTTATACGGATGTCAGTAGTACTATTGCTCAAGGCACGGCAACGCCCATGCATTTTGCACAATTGTAACTTAATATAAGAGGACAATCTGTCGAAGTTGTCCAATAAACAAAATATATTTCGTTTAGAGATGTCCTTGATTGATACTTGCATGGATTGCACAACTGAATATTTTGAAAAATCAATAATAATGACTCCTTTCTTCTGATATTTATTTTGAAAATCACAGCTTCCGAGAAAATGCAAGCTTTTTGGTTTTAAGATAACCATTTTTGGGGTGGACAATTAGAAAGTCTTGGATGGCAGATTTGAAAAAAAAATGTTCATGAAAGTATCATGAAAACAAAATGCTGGGATAAATATCAGAAAGAAAATCTGCACGCCTAAGTTATAGGGAAAACCTATTTCACACATTGGACAACAATACAATAAAATCATCATAGAAACATACTGCACACAATTAGATTAGAGGCCCTCGAAGTTTTTAATGGTCATACCCCCAACGAACCACATACTTCATTATAGGTATTGAGTCACGTGCTATGGTCACGCGAGAAGCATCCGAGTGGGGATCGGGTAAACGGGAGATTTATTGGCAGCAAATTCACCAGCGATAGCCCGACTTCGCCAGACAAAAACGAAACAATTGAGCGCATATCTCTCCCAAGTCGACAACAGTTTTATTTTTGTATTTTGCACAATAATTACCCCTTTTTTGTTGCCATGAGAACTTTTAAAAACATTCTTGGAATGCTCGTGCTATCTTGACCTGTCACGTTTCAGCTGCTAGTTCGTGCACGTGACGAACTGTGTTTTTTCCTGACTAGAGCCGCAGCAGCCTATACCAGAGGAGCTCAATATAACATAGTATAATTTTATCATATACAAGCTGACATACAATGTTCACAGTTTTATTCACAACTCGTACATTCCATCTTCGCCTAGTTACGATGCTAGTAATTATCGCGGTAAGCTCTACTTTGTAGGCAACGTGAGCTTTGTAAATCACCAAGAGGTCGCGTAATTATGGGGAATTCCCCGCTAGTAGATTTCAAACCTGCCAATGAGCAACGAGTTTTGTAGTGAATGGAATACAGCATAATATTCAATGCAGCCCGATAATCAGCCGTGCTAAAAGGGTATACACTCCATCTGTCAAAGCTGTGTCAATAAATAGTTGGATTCCGTGTACACAATAATAGAACAACTTAAAACTAAAGAATATTTGCTTCAAAATTTCACTTATCAGTCTTCACCGATTGTATTCATGGATGGTTTAATGACTTAACCCCGGGTGCCCCACTTATGGCACATTGACAGAAATATAAGAGGCCATGGTTACTGCTAACTGCGACGAGCAGAACGGTGGTGAATAATTTAATCGCCATCGTCACATACTTCAGCTGAGTTGTTAGTATTCCATGAACCAGTCGTCATGATAATGCGTACTACAGCCGAGTTATCAGTATTCCATGAACTAGTCGTCATGGTAATACGTACTACAACTGAGTTTTTAGTATTCTATGAACCAGTCGTCATGGTAATACGTACTACAACTGAGTTTTCAGTATTCCATGAACCAGTCGTCATGGTAATACGTACTACAACTGAGTTTTCAGTATTCTATGAACCAGTCGTCATGGTATTACGTACTACAACTGAGTTTTTAGTATTCTATGGCCCAACCGTTTTAGCAATATTAATACAATAGTCATGGTAATATTACGTGCTACAGCTGAGTAATCAGTATTCCATGATCCAGTAGTCATGGTAATAATATGTATTACAACTGATTTGTCAGTATTCCGTGGTCCAGTCGTCATAGTAATATTACGTACTACAACCGAGTTTTCAGTATTCTATGACCCAACTGTCTTGGTAATATTTTTTTGTGAAGGACTTCGTATTGTAAGAATACGTGGTCACCTGAAAACGAAGGATTGAACGCCCACGGGTTGGTGTGTATAACCATTGTAGTAGCTAATGCGAGTTTATGTCTTTTTTTTCCAGACAGTGTAAACAATTCCGTGGTTTAGCAGCAACTCAGCGACAAGTACAAAGAATCTTTTTCACCAAGGCAACCATGAGTCGCCATTACGAAGGCTTTCAAATGTACAACACGAGGACTTCCGAAGAAGCCCGAAGGCGCAATCGTTATGCGACGAATCAAATGAACAATGAGTTAGGCACACAGAAGGAATTAGAGAGACTACATCTGGAAACAATGAAAAAAGAAAGAAGGCGACTGGAAACAGAACTAAGTAAAATTAGAAATAAAGGACAATATATGGTAAAACGTCCAACAAATGTTAGCAACCAAGCCGTTAACTTTACATTACGACAAGCTGGTCCACTGTACGGCAGTAAGAGTAATCCAGGAGTGGGATCGGCTTGGCACCCACCTACAGGTAATAAAAATAATGGCGTTAAACGAAGAACAAGTAGAAAACGTGAAGCAGAAAAGGAGAGCCCACAGGGCAGGCATACTACAGACACAATCGACAGTCAAAAGCAGCAAGTTGGTAACGACACTGCACCACAGCAACCACAAGATGTAAACAAAACTGAACCAAACGTACCAACCGTTGTCAGTGCAGATATAAAAGCAAAACCACTGAAGGAAGAAGTCACTGTGGAAAACGGAATTAGAAGGAAATCTGTAACAACAGTGACAAAAAGTGGAGCGATAGTAGAAGTGATATCGTCACAGGGTGCTATGGCGGCAACGCCAACACCGTCGCCTCGACGCAACAACAAGAAAACTAAGGATACAATTTCAAATCTGAATATTGACGAAGCCCGGGAATCTGTGGCAAAACGTCTCCTGTCACACGATCAAGACAAAGCAGCTCCAAGATCGAGTAGAAAATCGCCGTCTTTGACGACAGTACCAGAAGAAGCCAAACCAGTGGCAGTACCGTCATTATCCAAGGCGCCACTTTCAGACCAAGGTTCCAAATCTGGATCGGCATCATCAACAACGGGAGGATCAGACAAGCCTGCAGAAACCGCATCAGCCACAAGAGACCCTGACAGAGCGACAAAACGAGAGGTGCGAGTTAAGTCGCCACCGGCCGCACAGATAGAAGAAGCAGAAGAAGATTCCGCGAATGCTAGCCAAGTAGCTGAGAATCGTGCACGAGACTTAAAACGTGTCAAACAAATGTTGGAGAATCCCACACAGGTATTCGATCAAGGAAAGTATGCACCTGACGGGGGGCTTCGTACCATGCATTTGATGCCCGATTCAGATGAGATGTTTGTGGAGGCACGGAAGGCAAGGTATCTTCGTGGCAAAGACTGGACTGGTCAACACTCAGAACTATCCATAAATGAAATATTTGGTAAAGAAAAAATCGACACTAACAAGGAACGTGAGGGTTCTGGTATTTCTAACTAGCTTGTAACCGCTGCACAAAGAGCACATTAGCTGTTCAGTTGTGTCTATACCCAACAATACTACTAATATGCGTAACTTGTTGTGTAGTTTCATCGTAACCAGTGTTTTTTTGAAATATTTTTATGCAAGAAATAATAATATAAGCTGAATGACAAGAAAATTTACCCTTCCACAAAAGAACGTTTTCTCATTCAAAATTCGTTGCTACATACAATGCTTCCAGTTCTGTCCTAAAACCTGAATGATATAACAATGTTTCGACATTTCATGTCCGAATATTTATTAACCGCCGCCAACTAATGTAACTTATCGAAAATTGAGATGTGCTGTTGTCATGCCAATGGTCATAGTGCTATTTTGAAATGAGATGCTGCCATGCTATTGGCCAGAAAACTATTTTAAGATGAGTTTCTGTCATGCTATTGGCCAGAGTGCTATTGAAATGACGTGCGTGGACCTTTTATGGAAAAGTGAATTGATAATTCAGTAATATGACATTTGCCCCGTTTTTTTTTTCTAACTGTCACGACGCGGTAAATCACCATGTCTGTGACCAAATATTCAATAGTGTGCTTGGGTAGTGCGGAACAAAGTACCTCATATCGTAATATAACCGTCCGTGGCGAAAGGTCACAAGAAATACTTGAAGGTCAATTCTTGTTGTCAGTACGGTCCTCTAAAGATCCATTTGTTCCATCCCATGCTTTGTTCCTTTCAACAATAGTAGCCATTTCAAAATGGCGGTTTAGAATGAGCTACGTTCACCTAGTTACCACAAATTACGATTGTGTTTGTCACTGTGCACGGTGAATCAGTAATACAGTCCTCAAATCTAAAATAATATCGCAAACAGTCACATTAATAGGCCCTGTTATTGCCGCCAATCAAATTAATTCAGTGCTTGTTATTATCCGCAAATCACCTAGATAGAGGCCATGTTATTGCCACCAATCACATTAATAAAAACCCTGCTATGGCCACCAACCACATTAATAGAGAGTCGGTTATTGCCCGCAATCACCAAGATAGAGGCCATGTTATTGCCACAATTTTCTAAATCCAGGCCCTGCGCATCACATTAACAGAGACCCTACTATTGCCACCAATCACATCGGTATATATTGTCCTCTCAATTATTGTCTCAGATTAAAAACTGTATGTTAAATACTTATTTGATAAAACACTTGATTGAAAAGAAAAGGAATTTGAACAGATAATTAAATATAAACGTTGTAGGAGTGCGTGGTATGAAGTGGTTTATCTGAACATGTAATCAGCAAACATGCAAACAGAGCAGTCAAATAATCTGGTTATTGGAATATAAATGATCCACTTTATTTTACGAACACTGTAGACTTAAGCAACATCCAATCAGGCACATGTGTAATTTCAGTTGATTTGAGTAGTTCAGAGATAAATGTGAATTTCTAAATTTAATGGCATACTCGCTACTGCATCAGGATTACCATCACGTATGGTTACATCCGGGTGATTTAATTTGAACGCGCCTGATTATTATCGATTGACCAAACCTGTTCATAATCCTTCTTAATGTTTGAAACAGCCATATAATCGCGTGTAATTGTATTTTCTGTATTGTGAAAATAGATTTGAATTACACCGTAGAAAATTTTCCTAATCAGATTCTAAACCACGTACTACATGTAGAAACGAAGCGATGTAGTTTTACCAAGAGCTACACTCAGTAAAACAAATAAATTAAAATACATTGGTTCCTGGGTAACCTTGGAATTGATAATTAATGTACACTTCTTATTAATTTAATAGGTTGACACAATTATAGCATGTTATTTTATTGATACATACAGATTGTTTGTTTTCCCCAAAATTTCCACTGCTGTTAATTTTATTAAAATTAATGCTCGAGTTCACATTTGACGAGTTATAACCATGACAAGACATTCCGTGATTTGTTAAGATTATATACCTAGATTAGTGACGTATATCAACAGGTGCGTTATATTACACACGTACACGTATATTATGGGATAGCTGTATAATTTTGGCTGACCTTCATGTATGTGATTTATTTCACCTCTGTCTGTTCATGGTTGGTTGCCATGGCAATAATACGGGCTTGATTGATTGTCGTGATTGAAGTCCAACATAGAGAATGGGGACGAGGTTTCTCTCAGTACTACTTAACAAGAAAGTCAAAATTCAGAATAGATTTTTGTAACTCTATATTATTTACATTGTCGTGGACTTGTAGGTGACATACTAGTGTATTTCATTGGTGTGCATTGCTTGGTACTTTCAATTTTATTCACAGGATTGGGCTTCCAAGATTATTGTATATATTGTGTATATAAATAGCCAAAATCCTGTATATTCTGTTATTTGCAGCATTACGTTTTTCAGTCACAGACCATCAATGTTGTATGAAAACCGACACTAGTCAAGCGTGTGTTACTAAAATATTGCTGGATACATATGACGCTGATTCATTCACATGTCACTAACCATTACATACTAGTATGTATTAGTAACCCATACATTAGAGTGTAACTCATGTATACATTGGTTTCTATTGTTATTAGCCAATGTATGCATTGATTAGTATTGTTAGTAACCATTGTATGCGTTGGTTTGTATTGATTAGTAACCAACTTAAGTATTGGTTAGTAACTCGTGTATGCATTGGTTTGTATTGGTTAGTAACCAATGAATATATCGACTTGTATTGGTTAGTAATTGATGTATGCAACGGTTTGTAATGGTTATTAACCAATGTATGCATCGATTTGTATTGGTTTGTAATCTGTGTATACATTGGTTTGTATTGGTTAATAACCCGTGTATGCATTAGTTTGTATTGGTTAGTAATCCATGTATGCAACGGTTTGTAATTGTTAGTAACCAATGTATGCATTGGTTTGTATTGGTTAGTAATCCATGTATACATCGGTTTGCATTGGTTAGTAGCCCGTACGCTGATACATTGAATATTTAATGTACACTTACAATACACTTATATGCATTGGTTGTAATTTAATAAAATTTACATACACTTGAGTGTATTAACTATATTGGCCAGTTACCCATTTAAGTAATTTTAATAGCTAATATGTTAACACATGGTATATTTCACGTGCAGATATTACACTGATTTGTATTTAGTGTTGTCTCATGTATATATTTGTGTGTATTGGTCAAGTACCAACACGTTGATACATTGTATATTTCTTGTACATATATTAAATTGGTATGTATTGCAAATAGAAATTATTTTTCTAGATCAATTTTCAGTTGAAAATAAATCATCACACTAGTATTATTAATATTTTCTTTTATTTTGAATGAGTCAATAATCATGACGGATTTATAAATGTTGCAATGGTACACGAGAAACTGATATGTGGTAAACTTGCATGTACGGAACTGATATTTAGAAAAATGTGTGGAACTGGTGTGCGCGTGGAACTGGTGTGTGCGTGGAACTGGTATGTGTGTGGAACTGGTGTGTGTGTGAAACTGGTGTGCGTGTGGAACTGGCGTGTGTGTGGAACTGGTGTGTGTGTGGAACTGGTGTGCGTGGGACTGGTATGCGTGTGGAACTGGTGTGCGTGTGGAACTGGCGTGCGTGTGGAACTGGCGTGTGTGTGGAACTGGCGTGTGTGTGGAACTGGTGTGTGTGTGTGTGGAACTGGCGTGTGTGTGGAACTGGCGTGTGTGGAACTGGTGTGTGTGTGGAACTGGTGTGTGTGTGGAACTGGTGTGTGTGTGGAACTGGCGTGTGTGTGGAACTGGTGTGCGTGTGTGGAACTGGTGTGCGTGTGGAACTGGTGTGTGTGTGAAACTGGTGTGTGTGTGTGTGGAACTGGCGTGTGTGTGTGGAACTGGCGTGTGTGGAACTAGTGTGTGTGTGTGGAACTGGTGTGCGTGTGGAACTGGTGTGTGTGTTGAACTGGTGTGCGTGTGGAACTGGCGTGTGTGTGAAACTGGCTTGTATGGGACTGGTATGTGTATAACTTATATGCGTTAAACTTGTATGTGTGAAACCGGTATGGGTGGAAATTGTGGGTGTACAACTGGAATATGTGGAACTGATATTTCCACGTCCCCAACATGCATATACGTAGATGATTTATGTGGGACCCTCTCTCAATTTCCTCTACGCCTTATACAACTCAGATAGTGTTTATACAGGGTTTCTGCCCCAAAGCAATTTCCACGGGCTGGATAACGCTCACGTATGGTGCTGGCATGAAAAGCAATATAGAGGTCTATGGCGGCTATAATCACCACTGACAATTTATAAGAATCTTAACGTATGTTTTTTCTTCTGTAAAGAATGTATAAGCATGTACTGACGCTTTGCTAGTCACGCCCATAAACTAATATAAACACGGCAACACATATTCAGGCGATTATCAGCGTACAATAATACCGTACTGTGTGACCCCATCCCCCTGATTCCAATGAACACCACGACTTGACGTTTTATGTGTCGTTATTGCACGGGAATGTATGCTTTGTGTTTGTCGTGGCACCATGCAGCGCCGCAATGTCAAATTAATCAGCGTTCACAGGAAACGCCTTCCACGTCAATTAGACGATGTAATTTAGGCCAATTTAAGTTAAATATATGACTTTTACAAATATGTAAGAAATACAATTACTATGTCACTCTGCATACCAAACTCAAAACGCTATTCAAGCGCGTTTTATTTGGTTATAAAATCAATAGCTCTGATAATGACATTTACGTCTGAATGAGGTCGTTAAGTTCAAGACATTAATGGGTGGTTGTGCATTCGATAGTGATTTATCGGACTCGTCTTGTACTGGTCACGTGATACCTCAATACCATGTACCACGTGTACACATTGTCTTGAAATGCTTAGTACTACAGGTCGTAAGCCACGAATAAGAAAGTTATAGTCAAAGATATAGTTATATATAAACAAAATGACAATTCTCGACGCCAAGATCTCTGCCATTGCTGCTGATTGGTAGATATGCCATCAACACTTATA